GTGGATTGAATTTTGTTTGGTTACTTAAAAATATATGAGGGCTTTCTCATCGCTAAGTTCTTTCTATATCCAGAAAATGCAGAAAACCATAAATATTACTAAAATCACTTGTAGCTTGGTCCCTAGAACCTGGCCGTATTTATGGCTATACTGATTGTTCTCATCAAGTAACTCACATAATGATCTGCATGTACTGTTAAAGCTGCAAGGTGGTTAAATCACAATCTTGCTGTTTCAGCCACAAGGACTTGCTGACGGACACAGTGGGACAGACAAATATGAGGCCAAGGAGCTATTTACACGTACTACTTCTATACATGGGTAATCAGGTACTGTGGAAACTGACTAGCCTGTCTAGTGACAGTAGCTGACATGTTCATCTGTTTCATAGGTGTAAGTTCATATTATGTGGAAAGGATTGGAACCGAACACACCGGGATGCCTGCTGTGTAGTGATGAATGGGCTTCGTTGGTCTATCATAAAGAAGCTTTCTCAGAAACCACACTGTGGCACATTTATAATTAAATACAGACATTGTGGGATTTCGTGTATAACAAAATCATTGTTTATGTCACTCTGTGCCATGCTGTAGACAAAGTGGAAGAGACAAGAAATTGATATTTGCTTATTAATGGCAATTTGATGGGACATTAATGTTGGCAGATATTTCTGGAAAAAAGACAAAGATTTGAAGTGATACTTAATAATGATCTCTTTCAGACAATAATATCAAATTCAAAAGCAAAGCAACTTGTTTATAACATTGCTTGATTGCAAGGGAGTTACCTTTTTTAGATGCTGTTTGGATCTTATCATACATAACTAGAGTTGATTTGCTTTGATCTCTGTTCTATACTTTTGTCTTAACTTAAAAATTTGTTCTGAATTCTCAAGAGTCTCAGGGCATAGTTACATAGAAAGAGCTTGCTGGATGCATCCCTGGTTGACATTCTCTAGATTGTATTTCTAATAAGTTTCAACAACCTCCCCACTACAATTCGATGAAAGTTGTTGATAGCACCAATAGGCAGTGAGTTACATTCAGGTACTTTATTCTTATGTCTAAAGACTCTCCCTATCACTGTGGGAAGACTCTGTTTCTATCAGGATCTAAACAAAACATTGCCAACACAATACAGTTTTAATATAAGGGGTTGGGATTCAAGGCAAACTATCCAGTGTAAGGTTGCCTACAGGTCAGAATGAATAATCTACATAAAATCAGTTTACATAAAAGCTCTTTGTCCTTAATCTCTTTATCTCATAGGCCTCTCTGAGAAGAAACTTACACAAAACTATACTCTGCATGCTCCGCTTCCTTTCTCTTGCTTCCTTCTTTCAAAACAGCAACAAAAGCTCCAGTTCCATGGTTTTCTGGGCCAACATTTCTGGGAAAAACACAATGATGAGTGTTCCCTGGTCCTCTTTCCTCCCTGCCCCCCAGGACCTTCAAAGAGCTACAAAAAAATGAAAGGTGATGTCTGTATGCCTTGTTAGAGTTATAAACCAACACGGACTATCCCAAAATACACCAAAATCAGTAAAAATTATGCTTCAACACTATAAACTACTAAATACAAAAATGAAAATAGACACGATACAGCTGAATAGTACCCTATAGCCATTTTAAGATGTATAGCAGCCAGTTGTATATAAACTAAAATTGAAAGGTCAACGAAGTAATCACAGGATGTGGCTAAGAACTTGCATTTTCTAACATATTGGTCACTCAGTACCATGTCATTTAACTCCATAATGTTGTAAACAGTTGTTGATGTTATGTTGTGGTTTTTAATTGGTCGGGATGATAGTCTACCAGCTCTGCCTTTAGACCAGAGATGATCTCCCCAAGAAACCGTTGAGTTTATCTGGACAATAAGATGCTAGACACTATGCAAACTATATGTTTGCTATGAAAGAATTATGAGTGGATTTGAACTGTAATGCTGCAACTAGGTGGAGGAATCCACCATGGGGGCAGGGTACAGGGAGGTGTTGGGGGATTCTCAGAGACTATGAAACTGCGTTATAAAACCAAATGTAATTAAAAAATAATAATAATAAAAGAAAGGTGATGTCTGACTGCAGTTATCCTGCTGAGGTCTAGAGAGAAAACAAAAAGGTCAGTTCCCAGCAGATTTCCTCTCTGACACAGCTTAGCCGAGTAGGGTAGGAGGTGGCTTGAGATGCTCCACATGGTTTTCTGTAAGTGATATGTTTGTGTTTCTGTTGGTGGTGGTGGCAGTGTGTTTGTTAGCCAATTAAGGATAGGAGACAGGCTGTGTCCTCTGAACCTGCTGTTGCATGCCTTCTAGAGAGACGCTTAAAGGAAAGTTTGAAAGAAAGATTTGGAGAAGAGAAATCTAGGGTCTGGTATTAATTGCATCTCAATGTTCTCATCTGTAAAAAAGGGACAGTAGGACTACAGGATCTCAAAAAAAGAATTGGTCAAGGATTAGAAGAGATCCTGGAATGGTTTCAGGTAGGCCAAATCCTCAAATTCTATACAAAGCTGTGTGTGTGGTCGGGGGAGAGAAGTAGTGTTCATTGAAGAAGTCTGCACCCCTTCTTCAGACTACTAAAAATCAGTAAACTCAAGCTCATTTATATCATTTTTAAAATTGAAATATCTTCATTTGACTCTTCCAGATATCAAATATTTAATTTTCTAAACTATGTTCTGAGTAACAAAAATAAGAAGCACATTATATATTTTTGGTACTAATCTTTAATGCATATTTAAAAATCAGTCCAGACATTGTAAAGTAATTTAACCAAGAAAATAGTATGGTATGATTATTTATATTAAGAATAGTTTTAGCTTCAAAGAGATGAAACTTATCATTAGACACTAATAATTTCCAAACCTCAATTTTTTTATGTGTGCAAATATAGCTGAGAAGTATGAATTTCTCTAAAAATAACATGATGAGAATAAACATTCTTCTTAGAAGTTTGAAGTGGTCAGTCACAAGAAGCAAAGAGATGCTTAAGGAAATCTAAAATGCCCTGAAATGATATGTTACTTCAAAATAATAAATAACACCAAAATCTTTTTTGTTTAGAAAATGATCCATAAATAAATAAATTTATTTTATCAAGAATTGATTATTTACTTTCTGCTTAGGATTTTGGAAGCTAAGCAGTGACACTACTTAGCTGTTTTAACTGTGAGAACTTTAACTTTTTTATTCTTTTTTCTCTGTAGTTAATTTTTTTGCCCTTAAAAATAAAAAGGTAGTGAGCCAAATGTGCTCAAATCATCCTCCTTTCTCAATGAATATAATAATGGGATTCAAAATGCTTTGTTCTCGATGCAGCAATCCTGAGGCTTAAATTATTCAGGTTTATGGTTTCATGTGAGCTATTATTTTTGTAAGTTAACAACAAATGTTTCTTTCTCAATTTACCTGAATACACCCAAAATATAAACACATCAGTAGGTTTGAGAGCTTGACTTTTAATAGAGCTTCCCCTCCTTTCTGATTAATAGAAGTTGCATGATATGTATTTCATTTTCCTAAAACTTAACAGGCAAATATCACTGGGGCGACAAATTTACTCAGAGTATATAGAAGCAACGGTCACAGCTGGTTGCAAAGTCAAAGCTGCACTAAACTGAGTTGGCCTGGTTCCCAGGAATTCTCAGCTCTTAAACAGTATCGGAGAGGTAAGTCCGCCATCTTCAGAAGCTGCACTAACTCTGATCGTTCTCATCCCATTTAATATATTGCTCTGTAACAACGTACTAGGGCACATGTGAGAAACAAGAAAACTGATTCTGCTTCAAAGGCACCACGCTGATACTTCAGGATATACAGCATCCCTATGATATTGTCCCTTTCAAATGACTTTTTCTGAGATGGTTGGTTACCTGACCATTGGGTACACATTTCTGATATTGAAAAATTCTTTCAGAAGCCATACAAGATGCGGTCCACTTGTTTGTACAGATTGGTTGTTTTGCTTGAATTTCTTAGTACTGAGGCATCGAGTGGAATGACTTCAAAGGGCATGTCTTCTAAGGTGATCGAAGTGCACTTCCTAAGGGCCATCACTTGTGCTACCTGTTAATACTACATTGCAATTTTGCACACTATCAGATTGTTACGTGTAATCTCTCACTGTACAAAAGCAGAAACATGCAGGCAACAAGGGAAAGTTTAAGAAATTATATCTATCTCACTGTCATTATAGTACATTTTAGTTGAGAACCAAAGAACTCTACAATGACAATCTCTGACGATAGATGGTATCCAGCAATGTCATCTTACCTAAATCCATCACCACCTCACTTTATCAATAAGAAAATGAGATGATGGAAGGTCAGAGATTTTTCCTTTAGGTGTTTGTAGCTTCCAGATTTTTCTGAATCCTGATCCACTGTTCTGGAGACTCACAATTTATGTATAAAGCCAGTGGAGAATGAATCTATGATGCACAACCTCTAACACATGGTTGGTTATTAATTGTCTTAATTGATATTTACCTAAATTACCCTTGAAAAAAAAGTGATGCGAAAACTAGAGTTAAAAGCAGCAGACTGTTTATTAATGTTCTAAAACAGCAGCTCTGGTGGTTTTCTTGTCACTAACCAAAGTCCTCAGAGGTGTTTGTCAAATAGCTTCAGGTCAATATTAAAATAATTATTTTGCAAATCTCAAGCAGATGGAAAATATTTGGAAAACTCATTTTTTTTCTTAAAATAAACACCTAAAATGTAACATTTTAAACTGTTAAAAACCATTTGTTCGCTACTTATTGAGTTAATAGTGTTTGGCTTGTCCTAGTCTTACAAGTCTCTCAATTCTCAGAACAGATGGCTTCAACTGAATGTCAAAACACAAATTTTACTGTTTCTAATAGTATAGTAACTTTAGAGAGACAAGGCATTTCCTTTTAACTGTTAAAACATTACTTTTGATGCAAAAATTTTTAAAAAGTACCATCTGAGAGACAGATTAAACTGAATACACCAAAGTGACTGCTTAGGAAAATGAACAGCATATAATCTAATATCTTTAATTTTATGTACATGAATATAACATATGTCAACTTTGTACATGAGATACATACAGCATTTAAACATTTTATCCAACAAATAAGACTTTACAATAGTAATATAATTGACTAGAGGACTGTCCACTTAATAATACTTAGATTAAATCTGTACTTTAACAGGAAAGAATTTAACAGTTTACAATCATAGAAACACATGTAAGACAAGACTTTATAAAATAATTTATATATATATATATAAATCCCCTAGCATCTATAGAGATGAATGATTTGCATTTGTGGATGTGTGCAATGAATGGCATCTTTTACATTTGTAGGTAATAAAATAATTTAGAAGCAGTTCATGCAAGTGGTCGAAGCAAGGAATGGCAGATCCTTCGAGATGTCCTCTATCTTTGACATCAAGCGGCATCGACCCCCACCAGCTGCCATGGAGGCACACCAGTACAGATCCTTCCCAGCAATCAGTCTTAGACACAACCATAAGTACACACTCACAGCCTTGCTTCCATACCTGGGGCACACCTTCTCTCAGCTGTGGGAGTAGTCAGTTTATCTTTAAAGTGACTTCATGTTACTCCTAGAGTCCTACGTCACACATCTCTATGCAGGGTGACTAACAGACCTTCCTGGTCTTCACAATTTTACTCTGATACTTCACAGAGTGCCCCCCATGTCCTATGACATAAACATCCAGCAGGTATGATTTTCCAGGCTCAAGACCTTTGATCGTTTCTGTGGTCACTGCCTTCTGTGGATTTTGACCATGGAAATATTTACAGAGAACTTTTTCTGATTTCTTCCTCATGTCTGGTCCTAGGCACTGATTTTGTTCTCTTTTCTTCTGGTCTTCATTGTAGTTCTCATCTACCTCTTTTTTGTAGATGCAAAACTTGTTCCTTTCCTGAGTGCCTAGCCATGCCACTGTGGCTGAAGAACAGGTGCGGAGTTTGTTGAAGGTTTTGATTCTCGTGTCTTCGGGGATCGAGGGAAATGCTTGCTTAGTTGGCTTTGTGCTGGCTAGTATTTTCAACATAGATGAGCCTTTCTTATTTCCTTTCAGTCGAATGAGATATTTGGCTTTAGGTTTCCCTCTCAGCTGAAACTGCCGAATACCTTCCACATTCTGGGACAGAAGCAGTTTCCTGTCTCTCCTCACTTGGATCTGGACAGCATCCAGACAGGAGTGGATGAAGAAGGAGACCTTCTGGTGAGAGGAAATTGGAGCAAACCTTAGAAACTTTGCTCCCTTCCTTTTAACAAACACGTCTGTAACTTTTCCATCTTTCAGCTCTACTGTCTGTTTAGCTTCTTCTTTGGTCCTGGCAAACGTACCCACGTAAGCCGTGCTCATGTTGCTGTTGGTGTTGACAACAAACACGTCAAAGTAGTATTGTGTGTCAGGTTTCAGATCAGACACGGTGAAGATGTTCTTGTTTCCTATGCAGATTTTCTGGATGTCAGTCTTGGGCCTCGAGTAGACATGACGCCCCAGCTTTGGGAAAGGTTTGGTAAGGAAGCTGCGTTCTTTCCCTAAGTTATCTGAGTGAAATCCAAAATGGGCAAAGTCAAAAGGGCTGAAGTCCAGACCAGGTTTTGGTGCCCTCATGAAAGCATCATCGGCAATCAGTTTTGTTTCCACGCCACACAGGCTTTTGAAATTGTGTTCTTTGTTGATGACCACACAGTACTGGATGGGTTGCTTCAGCAAGGACGCCGTGGGGCTTGGCTTCCAGGCCAAAGTAATCGTGGTTCGTCCCAGGGAGGTCACATCTACTCTTGGGTCATAGGGGAGTTCAGGGTAGGGCTGGTCCGACTCTGGCGTTGTGGTTGCGTACACTTTGAAGTGGGTGTCTTTCTCTGTGGAAACAAGTTCCAACTGATACAAACCAGATGGAGAACTGGAAGACATGAAATACTCAACATCATTTCCTTTGTAGGAAAACAGCTCAGTGCCTTTTTCATTAATGCTCTGCTGCTTCTGTTGGTCGAGAGGCTCAGGATCACCTAGAAGGCACAAGAGAAGCATGAGTTCTAGATCAGGGTAGATACTGGCTTGGCAACCTGATGGTGTGTTTCATTTTATTCCTTCTCCATTATAAATATAAGGAATGTTCATACTAGCAAACGGGGAAGCAGAAAAAAAAATTCACAAAATAAAAAATGCATTCATTAACTAATCCATTCTGCAGATACACTTCTGTATTAATTCTTCGGTTTATTTCCAGCTAGTCTTTTCCTTTTCTTTCTTTTGTTTTGTAATTTAATACCATGTACACTCAGTCATGCATGTATGCTCTTCAAGTTTCTCCTTTTGAGTTGTGTTTTCTTACTTAATATTGTAAAAATAATACTGACGATCAATTTAGTATCTTTATATGTATTGATCTTATGTATGTGTGTGAGGTTTCTCTAAATCTGAATTATTTCTCTAGGACAGAATCTAGTTAAGATCATGTTATTTGCTTTCTATAACCTGAATCTTCATTTTTTCTTTTTAAATTTATCTTATTAATTTGAAAGGTAGAGTGACAGAGAGAAACATACATACACACAGAGAGAGATTTTCTGTTCACTGATTCACTCTTTAAATGACTGTACTGGCCAGAGCTAAGCAAGGACAAAGCTAGGAGCTTGGAATTGCAGTCATGGTACCCATGTTGGTGGCAGGAACACACCTTCTGCTGCTTTCCCAGGTACATTGGCATGGAGATAGACAGCTAGAAGAGCAGCCGGGACTTGAACTGGCACTTAGATGCCAGCGTTGTAGGTGGTAGCTTAACCCACTGTGCTACAACACAGACCCCTATCTGTGTCTTCCTCTAATGCACATATCACTGTTCACTTCCATCTTGGTCTGTAACTTCTGTTCATGGTCTCCTTGCACCTTGGTTGATTCCTACCCTTTATTCTCCAGAGAGCCAAGGTTCTTAACCTTAGCTATACATCAAATCATCCTGGTGAGCTTAGAAACATCCTAATGTCCAGACTGCATCTGACAAACACAAAAGCAGAACACCTGAGAGCACCAGCTCTGCATCTGTGGCCTTTAAAGCTCCTCAAGTCATTTTAAATTTCAGGCACAACTGTCAATTACGGCCACAGTGTCCAGTCCAAACTTGTCTACTTTTGTCCCCCCAGTTCTGTCTCCCAACATTTTAACTTACTAAAATCAACATCATCTGATGTTGTCTCCACTATCTCCCTCCTCCCTAGTTCAAAAGCTCCAGTTTAACCTGCACATCTATGCTGTTGTTTCCTGTTAACTGCAGGTTGCTTGTTTTACAAGCCCTTTCACTAGCCACACCGAACTCTGGGCCAGATCTGCCTTGGCTTACCTGAACCCTCTCCGCTGGCCTCCTCGGGCAGCTCCTGGAGGCTGAGCTTCCATTCCAAAGGTGCATCACAGGGAGTCACTGTGACTGATAATGGAGTGTTGTCTTCCTCAACCATAAAGAAATACCTGTGGGAAAGCACACTGATTCAGACCGAGAGCATCCTTCTGACAATCAAGACTTGGTGTGCAGGCTATTTTCATTCATTTAGCAGAAACTTAAAGCAGCTGGTGATCAGAACCAATATGCAGCATTGACTGGAAGTCCGGCAGCCTCAGTCTTCTGTGAGGAGGTTGATCATCAACAAGCACAGTGTGATGTAACAAAAAGATCTCCAGTTACAATTATAAATCAGCATGTCCCTGCGTTCTTTGGTGCTATTTAACATAAGCTCTGCCACTATAAAGTCACAACTGGGAAAAATGTCCCAGTCTGTGGCCTGGCGCTGTTTGTTGTTGTTGTTGTTGTTTATGAAGTTGGTGATAAATTGGCACTTCATCCTTAAGCATTCTGGCAAAGTCACCAACTATTGCAAAACATGACTTTCTCAGCAACTTTGTCTAAAATGCATGCTGCTCTTGGATGATTGAGCTAGGCAATCACAGCTTTAAACTAGTGAATTTTATCCTTTGTTTTATGAATTCAACTATTTTTGGATGAAGAAATTAAGTCACCGTATGAGAAAGAATTTTAAAAAGTAAAGGGCATTGTGTCAGTTGGTGAAAGATAGTTTCCTATTACTGTTTTAAGGCTTTCTGTTTAACTAAATGTGTGTGATTTTAAATTTAACATCTAAAGCATGAAAACATTCTGCTCTGTGCTTTTCCCTCTGACTATTGGATGATGCTCCCAAAGATTTTTTTGAGGAAAAGTAACCTATTGCTCAGCTACAAACATCCTGCACATTCTTACTCCAATAATGTCGATGATTTCATTGAAGTCGCCCTCAAAACATTCAATCTTGCAAATGAGGAAACTATAGTCTCAGCTCTCTGCAGGCCAGAGTTTATGAGAAAGAAGTTTCACTTCCTGTTGGTTGCACCTGCGTCTCTTTGCTCCCTATTTTCTCTGTATCTACCACATGACTGTCTCTGAATTGATTGCCACAGCTTTCCACTCCACTCTTCCTCTGCTACTCTCCTCTCACATCCATAGCTTCTAACTTCTGGAGGGAGCCAGGAAACTGGGCTTGCACATTTTATAAATTCCTAAAAATAAGTTTTGTTCATTTACTGGATTATTTTTTGAAAGAGAGATAGAAATGTCAGATTAAGATCTCCCATCTTCTGCTTCACTTCTCACATACGACAGCTGGGGCTGGACCCACTGGCATCAATCCAGATCTCCCATGTTGATGGAATCAGTCTCCTGAGGCGTCTCTGCTGCCTCCCAGGGTGCACAGGATCAGAGAGCTAGAATAAGGACTGCAGCTGGGACTACAACCTGAGCACCCCAACGTGGTGTATAGGCATCTCATGTGGCATCATAGCAGCTATGCCAAATGTTTACCTCCTTTGGCATCTCCTTCCTGTTTGGGCTCACACTTTGTATGATTCACCTATGCTCCTGATTTTATCCTGTGCCTGTTAACAACTTCCAAATCTAAGTTATCAGCCTAAATCCTTACCCAAATTCCAATTATAATTGTCTTCTTGTGCTGTTCATGAATATACAAAGAGGATTTCTGATTTATACCATTTAATCTAAGCTTCTGATTGTCTCCCCCAAATCAACTTGTGCAGTGGATCCCTTCTGAGTAAGTGACAGACAACTCTAACCTTCCTGCTGATCAGGAGAGTCCTTGACTTTCTCTCCCTCATGCAGTGGTCAGCAGATGCTTTCTGCTTCATTTTTAAAGTAGCTCTAGCATCGGTCCTTTGGTTCCACTTCACCAAATCCTCAGTCTCCTATGCCTAAGCTTTGTGATAGCTTCCTCTCTGCTCTCGCTGCTCCCAGCCTTTGTGTCCTTAATTCCTTCTTCGCTCCCCCAGAAAAAGTCAACCTTGGAAACCTATGTCAAACATGTCACATCCCACTGCTCAAAAACCCTCCAAAAGCATCCCTGCCCTTCCAGAGCTTGCGTTATTTTATGACTTCTTCTATTTTCAGCCCATAAACAATTGCCAAGACCCTCCTCCATCAGCCTCTGTGAGCTCCTTTGAGATGCATATGGAACCCTGCTGCCTCCGCACTCCTAACCACACTCTCCCTTCACCCGAGATTCTCTCCCTCCTGATGGGAACCTTGCTGACAGTCTCCACTCCCATACTATCTTGCTTTAGATACATTCCTGCCCATCAAGTTTTACTCAATAGTATTTTGAGGCACTTATTTCTATCAGAAAAATTACGCATTTATTTCTTCACATGCTTGTTTTTCCATCTCCTCCCAACTAGGTAAAGGCTACAAGGAATTGAAAATTTGGTTCACTAATGAAACTCAAAGATTAAAACAATTCTCAAAAATGTTTACTGAATGAACTAATGAAAAGATATTGCCCACTTGTCTACTTTTAACATACCCAAGTCATTCTTTATGTTTCACCAAGAGTAATATTTTTTAAAACATTAATGTTTTTGTGATTTCAAACCTAGAGCCTTTTCTTTACATTTTTAGCTTAGAGGAAAAACCCTCAACAACTGTTCATATAGTCAAAAGCTGCTCAATGGTACAGCTTTACCTGCTGCACCAGACTCTCCTCAGGCAGCCTCTACCCTTAGGTTTCTGTGCTCAGACCATTTAGAACTTCTTTATTTTTTTTTTTTCAAATTTCACCTATGGGAGCTTACCGATGGTTTTCTGGGTTTGAAATTCACTACCCCGCCTTTACTCATATTTCAATATCACTTCTTTAGTAATGCTGTTTTCTGAATCTTTTTGAATCAGATTCTTTTAAATACTTGCAGAGTGTTCTATAGATATTATTTCCACAATTAACTGAAATCCTGTGGCAATAGCTTAATATTATGTCACCAATGTAATTTTCCCCATAAGGGTCAATTTGCTATTTTTGTTCCAAGTCATTGGATTTTCAGGATGTAAAACGGATTTCTGCAAGTAATAGGCAGCTCTCTGATGAACAGTTTTAAGTGAATTAGTTACAAGTTAATCAATAAGACCCAATACTAACTCACATCTTTTTGTGCTAGCCTGAGCGGACGTATACCTAGAATCTTTTTATATTTGAATGTATAAAACCTGAATGGAAATAATGTAAATACTTCTCTCCCCTCACCAAAGACAATTTGGAGACGGAAGGTGGAGATGGAACAGTGGAAGGATTAACAAAGACAAGATACTATAAAATCAAACCCAACATTTTTAACAAACAGGTAATATATCATTTGTGGGCTGATGGAAGTGGAGCATCTAGGACTTGAATCAGCACCCAAATGGGCTATCAATATTACAGGTAGGGATGACCTGCTTTACCACAACACCAGCCCCATGGGAGATGATTTTTATGTTGCAAAGATATAAGTGCAACAAAGCAATTTGTTTGGCATTATATAAATGAAGAGTACCTACAGCTTTTTTAATTTTTGAGTGTCATTTGAGTAGCACTACTAACCAATGTCAAAGCAAAAAAAAAAAACTACATGCAAATTCTATTTTGTTCTGTTCTCACTTCCTATAAGTAAGCAGTCTGTTTCCCAATGTAAGCAATTGTGTCTTAAACACAGGGCAGCGACTTAACAGCAAATAAAGCAATGTTTGCGTTGCACAAGGTAATTAATTATCATACATATAAAACTGTAAGGAGTCCCTCAAAGTCAATGTTTTCATGTGGAAGCACTTATGGTTCGGGATAAACTATGACCCGAGTAAATGTAACAGTTGGACAAACATTTATCGTGTACCATGTGCAAAGCAATTGAGAGGAGACTGGTGATCAAAGCTGCAAGGACATGATGCGTGTGTTCAGGTATTTACTGGCCAGAGAGAGATGAAACAAATAATTAAGGAAACATGGCAGCAAATTACAATGCCAACGCTGAGATATAAACACATCACTAGTCATGTAACTTTGGGAATTCGTGTGTAAACAACAGGATAATAAATCAATGTGTTGTCTTTTTCTACTTATTATTGCTCAGCTTTGTATTTTGCCTTTAGTTGGCACATCAGCAATGACCATATGTGCTTACCACAGCACTGCAGCCTTAGAAATGCTGTTTCCTCTTATACTGTGACTCTTTATTTAGCTGGTGTAGTAGTTAGCATTTCTTCTAAGGGCTCCTGTAATTATTTGTGCAACAAGTACAAATGTAGAGAGTGAACAAATGAAAAAAATAAGAACGAAGGAAGGGAAAAGCACTGCTTATTTTGTAATATTCGGTAAAAAAAAAAAAGCATATTGTAAAGGAAAAGGAGTATATTTTAAGGGCACTCTAGTAGCCAAACTTGGTGAATTTTGAACAGACTGAAAGGATAAAGCTGATAAGAAATTTTTTATTGATATGATTATGCAATGTGGAATGCTGTATTTAGAAGTACTGTGTGGAAAGGGATGCATAAATATATTTAGGGAGTGAAAGTAATTGACAAAGAAAATTCTGATTTGATGTGACTCATTCAAAATTTTTAGGTAAAGAAATAATGTGAAAAACAAACTTTGTAAAGAAAGATTTCAGCTATTTTTTAAAGATCAGTTTGAAGTATGAGAACTGCCTTGTATGTCATATCCTGTTTTCACAGACAGCATGCAGGTAGGGACGAGAACAACAAGTTCTTTCAAAGCAATAATCCTTTCATGGTGTCTTCACTCTTATGAATGTCATGTAAAGATCCAGTTCTTTATATGTTAATAACAAGTCTGATCTCAGCTTATTGTATTCATTCAAACAAATAATTATACCTTGCAAGTGCTGAAATGACAGCCAAACAACAGTTCACTTCAATGAAAACAAGAAAACACAACATCAACCATCATTTAAACCAACCAACTGGTTGGATAGCAGGACTACTCAGTGGAAGAGGTTTAGATCCTCACCTGTTATTTTCCACCAAACTGAAAAAATAACCTAACTATCAGGCACATCTCAGTCATTAGAAAATAGGTTATTGATATAATATAGATTTTAAAAATTGAAAATAAACAAACACCAAGAGGTGACCAGAGAGTGAGCAAGAGACAGGTAGAAATAAAAAGAGACAATGGGAAAGACAGCGCTCTCATCCACTGGCCCATGTCCCAAACAATCACAGTGGATGGAGCTGAGCTGGTATGGGAACCGAGAGTCATGAATTCAAAGCAGGGCTCCCATTTGGGTGGCAGAAACTCTTTTTCCTGAGTCATTGTCACTTCCTCCCAGCGTCTGCATAAGCAAGAAGCCAGTGTCTAGAGAGGGAGCTGGATATGAAACCTGGGAACTTCAATATGGGAAACAGTTTATCATTTGAAATGCTGATTTGTTCCACATCAAAAGGAGAAATTGTCTTTGAAGTATAATTATCTAACGATTAATTTTTATAAAAGTGGAGAGGAGGGTCTCAATATTCTTAAGTCAGTCATCTGAAAAATAATTAGATTATAAAATATACACTATTTATATTACACAGTTTTGAAAGAACCAAGGTACTTATAGACATCATGCAAGTTCAATATATTGCTTGATTTCATTCTCTTAGATTCAATCACATTTTAAAAGAAATATTATCTCCCATAATTCAATATAAAACCTTTAAGAATCTTGTATATACAATTACTTTGGTTTTTATGCCCTAAAGTCCTTCTTAGAGAAATTAGGAAAATAATCATTACGAAGTAGAAACAATGCAAGAATTGTTTTCTTTATCCAAAATTAGACCACATTCTACAAAAATGATTTTACATTTAATGGTTATAAGTTGATTGTATATTTTTCTTACTTAGAGAAAATAGGCAATGCTATTTGTAGATTCATATGCCAATTGTCTAACTAAATTTAATGATTAAAATCTTTTTATTTTTTTAAACATTTAAAAATTATTCTCACATTTTTAGACTATTGAAAGAGATGAGGGGAGAAGAGAGAGAAGGAGAGGGAGAGTGAGTAATGACCTGTTTTCTGCTTCACTTCCCAGATGCCGGCAACAACTGACGGTGGGCCAGGCTGAAGCCAGAAGTCTGGGACTCAGGCTGCATCTCCCACATGAGTGAATGAACCTGACTATTTGACCATCACCTGCTGCCTCCCAGGATGTGCACTAGCAGGACGCTGGAATCAGAAGAGTCAAGCTGAGAGACTCTGGTACAGAATGTGAGTATACAAACAGGTCTCTTACAACTGTGCCAAATGTCCACCACTATTTCCTTTGCAGAAGGTACCTTCTATAAGCATATTCATATAGAAAATTTGTGGGGTGTATACCTTTTGGGCGTGTCTCTAAAGATATAACTGCTGATTTCAGCTCCATCCGGAATTACTGATGAATCATGAAAGAATGCTTTGTCCCGGATCTGCATCTGAAAGAGTTCCTCATCTCGAGTGGGCAGCTTCTGTGTCCTTGAGCCGAGCGGTAAGAGCAACCACAGCAGACAACAGTGGATCAGCACCATCCTGGGCCAACACAAACGATCATATTAGTTCTTCAGGTAGACCTTGGACAAGTTGCAAGGATTAACACTATTTAACTTCCAACCCAGTCTTCCCAGTCTTATACATTTTATCATGTTTTGGACACAGGGGTATGATCTTGACAGCAGTTCTCCTTTTCCATATTTAATTTCATGAAGTCAGGGACAAATCCACTAAAATTTCAAAAATCAAAATGATTTGGAAATAAAGGACTCTTGATACATTAACTTTCATGAGTGCTAAGAGAGAATATCCTCAACTCATTATCAGCAGCCAATATAGTAGTCACAGATTATGTCACATCAATGCCTCAGAGTCTGCTGAAATGATCAATCAAGGTCAGTTTTTCAAGCTTTTACAAAAGTCGCACCATTGACTAATTGAAATTGTTTAGCAGTTCAGTCATTAATTGCTGCTATGATCCATTAGTCACATTCAATGCACACGATGACCCAGAAGTTTCTTTTTCACAGTTACCCTTATTCCAACATCACATTTTCATAAGGCAGAGACTGCTAGAGATTATAAAGCTCAACTTTTTCACAGGTTGAAATAATATGCCCAAGATCATATGGCGAGATTTTTTTTTTTTGATACATAAGGATTACGGACTGCATTACTCTTCAAACCTACATTTACTAAATCCAAAACTTTTCATGTTAGAAAGTGGGCTTAGACTTTCATATCGACCTGCAACTTTGAAATTGATCCTAAGTACCAACAGAGTCTTTTCATTGAGTTATGAATCAGCATAAGTAGTGGATTTCCAGCAAAAATTATGTAAGAAACAGGAATTACTTTTCAACTACTCATTTTTATAGGGATGGTATGAAGGATGCTATCTCTTAATGTTGGTCAGAGTCCGCAGGAGAAGTCCAGGGTAGGTGAGTTCATTATGTGTCATATATTAGTGAGAGGCAATGTACAGGTTGGTACATATGCATTTTTTTCTCAAAGAAAGAACCATGGTAAGGAATTATATTCTTTCACTTCTTTGACACCAAAGAATGCAAATATTAGAGAAATATCTGCAGAGAGTACAGATTTAAATACTGCAGGGAGTGGAAAAGCCAAATGCAAATAATTTGAGATGGAATGAATAGATCTTGATTTTATTTCCCATCCTTATGTCTTAATTATATATTAACTGAGCTTGACTCAGAACTCAGAAATTTGAGGGGTTTTGTCTCAGCTCCTGACCAGATGATCTTAGGCAATTCCCTTGGAGATTATAGACTTTGGTTTCCTGTGAGGTTTGGAAAGACAATCTCTACACTCTAAAAATGAACAAGAATTCTGACAGAATATGAACATCCTCTTCCCAAGAGGCTAGCAGTTTAAGAATAAGCCCACATCTTAACTTCACTAAATAATCTTCCACTCCAAAGTCCAGATTATTGTGAAGGAGAAAGCTAAGAGGAGCAGAGAGATGAGTGGAAGCTCACGTGAGTTACAAAGAGGAGACAGGGGCTATGTCCGCAATGGCAAAAATCAGTTATCCTCTTCTAAACAAACAGGGACATGATAGCACAAAATGAATGACCCTTTTTCCTCCTCTTCTGCCTGGAGTTGGTAGAAAAGAAATATATGTGTAGCATTTGATACATTGCCCCCATGAGAAATACTTCTATTTTAGCACAAAACATATCTAGTTTACTTCCCTTATAGCACCATTCCATAAAGTTGGTTACTGAGAGCAAACAGGGCATAAAATTAAAAAGAGAGAAGGAAGGGAGGAAGAGAGGGAGGGAGAGAGAGAGAAAGAGAGAGAAAGAAAGAAAGAAAGAAAGAAAGAAAGAAAGAAAGAAAGAAAGAAAGAAAGAAAGAAAGAGAAAAAGAAAAAGAAAAAGAAAACTTGTCCCTTTGGAAATAGAATTTGGGTTTCTGTACCTATTAGAAACTCACCATGGGAGTGCTAGAATGTGACAGACTCAAGCCTATATCCTGGAGACAGTCAAGGGCAGCCTTATCTCATTAGGAACCACATCTACCCATAAAGCTGTCAACCACACAGTGCCACTGCTCAACTTAGCAGGACAAGCTCCTGTGCCCCAGGGTATGTGGGAGATTTAGGTCAGCTCCAGAGTCAGAGAAGCAGCTTGCCATGACTGATAGGAATTTTCCCAATGTCCTCAACTGCCCTTTGGAGGAACTTTTTCTTTATGAATTTATGTAGTTGTGAGAACTGAATTTTGAGATAATATCAATATTGATAACTGGTATTACTTGTTAATTGTTTGCTAGAAAAGCAGAGAAAGAGATTCTATTTGATGGTTCAGTTCCTAAAAGCCCACAACATCAGGGGTTGGCCTAGCCTGGAGCCAGGAGCTGGAACTCCATCTAGGTCTCCTACTAGTATGGCAGAAACCCAGGTACGTGAGCCATCCGAAGTCTCCTAGGTGAATTTATAGCTGGAAACTGTATCCAAAGCAGAAGTGGGATTTGGGTCTGGGCATTCTGATACAGGTTTCAGCATGTTAGCTGGCTGTGCTGAAAGTCATCCTCCTATTTTTTTTTCTCATATTAAAGATGAGCCAATATGCCTACTCAGGTAAAAATCATATATTAAATACTACTGATGTATAAAATATGAATGATTTATATGGTTGACTTAAAACATGGTAAACCAGGGAGGTGTTTAGCCTAAAGGTTAAAATGTCTACCTCCCACGTTGAAGCTTCTGTGTTCTAGAATCAGCTCCTACTCGTGACATTTTTCACGACAATGCTGATCCTTTGGTTGGGCGGTGGTGATCGTGCAAGTAATTAACTCCTGCTGCCTACATGGGAGACCTTGGTTGCATCCACAAATCTTGGAACTGATGCTGGTCCATCCAGCACAATCATGGTAGGCACATGAGGAGGGAAGCAGCAGATGAAGTTATGAATTCTTTCTCTGTCCTTTGAGTAAATAGTAACTATAATTTAAAACATATAAATATCAAACTATATTAGCATATATTCTTCATATAGCCACTTAGTAATTTAATATCAGTGAACAATTTCAGCTTATAGGGTTACACAGAGTGGAGTGTTGGGAGGCGATTTTTCCTGGGTCTGTCTGCAACTCTTGGCAGTAGAATCATGGACTGCCTTTGTTCCATATCATGTTTGCAAGGCTGTTTAGCCAACAGCCTTGGAAGAAAAAGCTGCTGGTTGGAGAAAAGAGTAGGCCTGTTTGCCACCCAGTACAAAAGGTTTGGTTTCCCTGAACTTGAGGTTCCTCTCCTATTTTTAAGCCTACTTCCAGGTGTTGACTCTATCCGTCCCTGTCTGCAACCCCATTTGTTCAGGGAACAAGTGGAAGAAAATGTTGATTCTGTGCCCACAATTATTTCTTTCAGCAAAAAGAATCTTTGTTTCTGACCCAGGAGACCTGTGTCTTCCAGCAGGCTTATGCACTAGCTTGCAATTAGGGTAAAATCTCAAATTTGTTACAGTTCTTCACACTAAGTTACTATTTTACATATTTATCTTTCTTATTAGTTATGGTGTACATTTTCATTTAGCACCAAGAGAAATAGAATTAGTTTCATCTTTTTGTTTGCTTCTTTAAAAGTAGTTTATTTCTCCCTAACTAAAATTTGATCAAACCACACTCTTAGGTTATTGAAGCGCTAAATCATTGTAACTGTCACATAAGTTATGGGAAAAACAGACATTATAAAATCAAGTTTAAAATTAGCATGAGGTTAAACCTGAAGAATTTAAATTCTATCAGAGTATGATTTTTCAAAATGTTATCCAGTAATATTCAACTATCACTGAGGAAAAGCTTATTCAGACACTACAAAACAGTGATCATTTGCTTAATTTGCTCTGATTTAGATATTAACTTATTAAAGATAATATTTAACATTTATTTAATTTATTTTCAGAGTTGACCAGAGAGAAATGTAGATAGATCTCCTGTTCTCTGGTTTATTTTTCGTATGTCTGAAGTGGCCAAAGGTTGGATAGGATGTATTTAAAAGAAGCCCTCAATGTAGCTAATGAAAAAATACTTTGCAGATGCACTCCCCAGAGTTTCACAATTTATATTCACTGATAAAAAAATATGAAGTTTCTATTATTTCGCAGCTTTTTTCTGCCATTAATAAAATATTCTGTCTTAGACATTCAACTAAAGCATTGCTCACTAGAAATAAACAACTTGAAAATTGTCGTCTTTAGGCTGGGTTAACTTAGTCCCGGAGAACAGAGTTCTCTTCTAAGATAACAAAAGTGCCCTCTAATGGTATGGCTTTTCCTTTTATTCTTCATTGTTACATCTAGGTGTCCTGAGCTTATCTAGACTTAAAGTTTAAGCAAAATAACATGCAATGGCATTTCCCTTTCAGTACTCTTTCTCATTTTCTGACCATCTGGTGGATAATGTAGGAAATTTGGACAGAAAGTAACTTCACTGCTTTTCTCCAATTCAGGCTCCACTTTAAACACAAGCAGAATGTGGCTAGGATGAGTCCAAATATATGTGATTTGCTGGACAGGTCAGTCCATGTGGCAGCACTGTTATTCGCAGTCCAGAAAAAGCTCTGTGGTGCCGTCCTGCTGCCTGAGAAGACGGACTCCGACCATTCTAATTAGGAAGTGCTGATGGCACTGAGCACAGGGATGTTTAACTCAAACTCTGATATTATTTGTTTTGTCAAAGGCCTTCTGCACACACACCTTCATGTCTTGCCAAAGCTGAAGAGAGAAAAAAAGGACCCAATGATTTCATACACCTCAGACTTTGGAAAACACATTATTGGTGATGTGAACTAATCCTCTTTTGAAATGTCATTGTGTCCCAGGTTAAAAGGGAAACTGTTCTTGACATAGAATTGTTTGAACATTAACCAGATGTTTTCCATTTAGCAAAGTTAGGAAAGGGCCTGGGCATTACAAAGTGAATCACTTTAATGTGATTACCTTGTATCATATGGATGAATATGCACAAATTCAGGGTCACCAATTTAGAAATATTGCAGTTCAATGCAT